TGGCGCCTGGGTGGCTCAGCTGGTGGAACGTCCAACTTCAGCTCAGGTCATGATCTCATGGTTTGTGAGTTCGAGCCCCGCATTGGGCTCTATGCTGACAGCTCAGAGCCTGGAGCCTGCTTTGGATTCTGTCTCCTTCTCTCTCTGCCCCTCCCCACATGTGCTCTATTTCTCTGTCTCTCAAAAATAAACAGATGTTAAAAAAAAAATTTTTTTTTTAAATGTGAGCCCGGAGAAGGCTGATGACTCCTTTACCAGGCTTGCCAGGCACCAAGCTCTGCCAGCTGAGCAAAAACCGAGTCAACCAATTAATTTTCTCCAGTGAGCAGAAAAAGCCAGCCCTGAACTTGGCCCAAAAGCAAGAAGAGGAAAAGGCGAATCCATGGGAGTTTCTAGAGAGACTCGCAGCTCTTTGCAGGCAAGTTCATGAATACAGGCCCTGCCCTGACACCCCTGAGCCGGTCAGGAGGGAAAGGAGGCCAGGAAGCCCCAGCTCCAGCCTTGGAGGATGTGTTTCAAAAAGAAGAGAACCTTTCGTAGCTTCTGAGCTACTCAATGTTGCAGAGGAAGCTGCCTAGTGTGGACGCCTAGTCACTTAAGTCCCCGTGACCCTTGGGAAAAGGAGAATGGAGCCAGAGAGAGGTCTGACCAATCATCCTGGCTTATTACAGAGAAGGGCTTTTAGAGAAATCGCTAGGGAAACTCATTTTGATTAACAGGTAGTTCAGGGCTTCTTAACATTAGTGTCAGGGGAGTCTACAACCCCCCCTCAAACTGAATGCCCAGTTACAGGTCTACATACATTTTAAAGGGAAGAGAAGCGTTTGCTTTAATCAGATTTTCAGGCAGTTAAGAGCTACTGGTGTAGATACATAAATACAAAGCAGAGTTTTTCTACGAGAAGATACTTTTCTATTACCTGAATTCTAGTTCTCAGAGTATGGCACTCTGGTGACATCATCACCTGGGAACTAGTTAGAACTGCGGATTCCCCCTCCCCCCCCCCCCCC